GGCGGGCGGCAGCACTTCCGGGGCCCTGAGAGGCCCACGCTCCATGGGGCAGCTGAGTGGGCTGCTCTGTCCTGCAGTGTCTGCCCTGGTGCTCAGCCCCAGGCTCCTCCTGCTGTGTGCTCTCCTGGGGGGAAGGGGGCCTGGACTTCATGGGCCCCAGGCTCCTGCAGCCGGCCGGACACAACCACAGTGAAAAGCTGGGCTCTTCCCTTAAAGGAAACCTGGTAGAGAGTGGACAGAAGTGCCGGGTGGCCTCAGCCTGGTGAGCTGGAATCTCACCTGGGGCTCAGGACAGGCCACAGTGGCCGGCTCCAGCCCTCTGGCTTTGTTTAGTCCAAAGAGAGCACGAGGTAGAAGCCAGCAGGTGTGTGGACAGTGGTCCTCGAGACTCAACACAGGTTCCTGGGCTTCTTGGGACCTGCACTGGGGAGGGGAAGGGCTGGTGGAGCTTCTTGTTTATATTTTTTGGTGCCACGAGCTGCACCCCAGCCCTTTGTTCTACATGAAGTCAGGGCCTCGCTGAGTCTCCGAGGCTGGCCCCAAAGCTGCCACCCTCTTCCTGGGCCTCCAAGCGGCTGGACCTCCAGGTGCGTGCCCCGCCGGGTTCCAGGGGGCTCCAGGGCTGGGTCAGTCTCTCCCCTCCTGGGGTCTCTGTTCCGCGTGTCCTTCTCTTCCTCCTGCCCTCCTCCGCCACTTGGCGCGACTCTGGGTCTGTCTGGGGGGCTGGCCTCGGCCCTGCGCTGCGCCCCAGGTGGCCTCTGCCCTTCTGTGGGCAGGTCTGCCGGGAGGACTCCATCCAGAGTTTGTCTTTCCCTAACAAAGACGTTTTCACAGGGTAAAGAAATCGATCAGACCTCGTCCCACCATGTCCTGTTTCTAGCTGTCTGTCACCTGTCCTTGTTGCTCGAAGCTCCCCTTCCTCCGGCGGGTGGTCATGTGCCTGTGAGTTTGCCCCATGTTTCTTGGTTTCAGATTCATTGAGCTTCTTAGATTTCATCAGATTTGGGAACTTTTCAGCCATTATTCAAATACCTTCTGCTCCACCTTTGGGGACTTCTGTCCTCCCTGCTAGGGGTGCTCTCGCGGCTGCTGACGCTGGGCTCCCCTTGCCTGTGCCCGAGTGCTGCCTCTGGTGGCTTCTAGGCTCAGTCTGAGGCTCCSGCCTTCTCCCTCCTCAGGGCCTGACATGCACAGGTCGGGTCCCCTCCCTGGGGCCTTGGGGCCCCTTCCCTGTTTGCTACCTGTCTCTGCCTCTGCAGTCGCGTCGACCCAGCTTCTCCCATACACAGCCCGGAGGTGGTGACTCCCGGTGGGCGCGCACACCACGGCCACCTCTCACGTCTCTAGGTCACTGTCGACTGCTGGTTTCCTCCCCGGGATTCCGTTTTCCTGGTCTTTGCATGCCTGGGACTCAATGTTCCTGAGTCTCACTGTGGGACGCTCTGCAGCTACCTTGGTTCACATCTCCTCCTTGGGCAATCATACTTCTAGGTCTTGTTAGGTACAAAGCAAGCAGCTTTCATCCTAGTGACCCTCTGTTCCTCCCTCCTCAGGGGCATCCAGCACAAGGACTGGTCACAGAGTTTAGGTTGCTGGATTTGCCAGCCTCACCCTTCTGGTGCCAGGTCCCTGCAGTGTGGGGAGGGCCGTCTCCAGCTCCGGCAGAGTCCTGCACCCTTCCTGGGGCATCTTGCCAGGTATGAGTGCACACGCAGTGCCTGTCACCTGATTTCCAGGTTTGCACACCTTTGTGTGACAACCACCCCCAGGTCATCCCCCAAGGGCCCTTGCGCCCTCCCAGCCCACCCCTCCACCAGCAGTGACAGCGGCTCCGTGACACACGTCCTGCTGCTCCTGCATCAGGGAAGGAAAGGGAAGGGGGTGTGAGGCTGGGTGCCGCCCGTCCACACAGTGCGCTGCTGGGCCCCATGGGTGCTCCTCTGGCTCTGCACAGCCGGCCTGCCTGCACCTGCGGAGGGCCAGGCGGGGTGAAGGCTCCCCTGCGTCTGTCACTCTTGAGCCGACACCGGGGGTGGAGCCGTTGGGTCTCAGGGTCCACCTGGTACCACTTCCTCAGGAAGGCGGGAAATAGTTTCCCAAAGGGGTTGTAGGGCGTTCAGGTGAGCCCAGTGCCACCAGCACGTGCCGGTCAGGACAAGTGGACTCACAGCCTCCACCTGCAGGCCTCTGAAGGCCGGTGCCAAGCCTGTTTCCATGTCGCACATTGCTGTGGGCCCTGGGTCCTTGGCCGGGGATGCACCCTGTGCCGTTCTCCACGCCTGTGGCTTGCCATTTCACCTGCACAGGGACGTTTTTTAAAAGATTCAGACAAGGAACCTATGTGCCACTCTTTTTCTCAGAACAGAACAAAGCAACCACCGAAGTGGAGATCACGTGTGCGTCTCTCGGAACAAGATGTTGACATGGTAAAATCAGACACCGATCGCCTTCCCGCTGTGCCTCCACCTGTGTGAATCGTGCATTGTGGATTCACTGAATTCAAAGACAGGCCAGTCCCCTCCCACGGAGCGCAGCTCACAACCACAGAAATCCAAAGGCCCAACCTGGCCCTGGGTGCCCTCCGTGGAGCCCAGGCAGAGTCCGCATCCCTAGAAACCTGGCACCGCCGCCCGGAAGCTCTTCCCCAGCCTCTCCTCCAAAACCTCTGCCAGCGCATCTGGTTCCTCGACCCACCCCGAGGGCACGTGGGCACCTGGGGAGAGACGCACTCCCGGCTCCTGTCCCTGCACAAGCCCACGGTGGGCAGACGCCTCCCTTGCTCTGTCCAGGGTCTAGGGACCTCCACCTGTGGGCAGATGTTGAACTGCTCTGTGCCACCGTCACCGACCGTGCCCTCCCACACACCACCACACTGTCCCTAGGCATGGGAGGGCAGTCTCCACACTGCCTGAGGCCCCTGGGCATCCCAAGGCTCTGACCCCTACCTCCAGGTGACTCATTTCCCAGGACTGAGCTGCAGGTCTGCTGCTGGGGCAGCTGCACCCCCCCACCCCCCAAACCCGGCCTTCTCCACGCGCCTGCTCTCTGGGTCCTCTTGTCCTAGAGTAGGGACCTCAGACACCATTGTGCTGTGCTCCAGGTCCCTGCCGTCAGTGCCTCGTGCCCACCACCTGGGGAGCCCGCCGTGGTGCTGGCGCTCAGTGCAGGCTCCCTCTGCACTCTGGACTCACCTTGCACACCTGCTTTGGCTCCTTCCTTCTGGCCCGTGTGCCCGAGGGCAACTGCCAGTGTGGGGTCCTTGTCATGCTGCCGACCCCCCAGCAGAGCTGCCTCATCCACCCTGAGATCAGGCTGGGGCAACGCAGGCGGCACCTCGCGCCTCGGCCAGCGAAGCCCAAGGGGCAAGCCTGTGGTAGCACTCGTATGGGGTGAACCTCGGGGCCTGGACCAGGACTAGACCCAGTGAGAGAAGCAGAGGAGCCAACATTAAATCGACCCCACTCGCAGAAGTTCAAACACGGCAGTGCTTTACCAGGCAACTGGCTTACACCCGGCCCAGGACTTAGAGAAAGCTGAGCGTCAGTCATGCTACAAAGCCTGAGGGTGGCCTCATCAATGTACCTCCCTGGGCACACTCGTCAGTACCAGCGTGCCCTCCACACCTTCCCAGTACAGCCCTCAGAAGTCAGGTCTAGGCCAGGTGCCGTGGCACCCACCTATAATCCCAGTGGCTTGGGAGGGTGAGGCAGGAGGATCAAGAGTTCAAAGCCAGCTTCAGCAACTTAGCAAGGCCCCAAGCAACTCAGCAAAACCCTCTCGATAAAATATGAGGGCTGGAGATGTCATGCTGCTTGACCCAGTGGCTGAGTGCCCCTGGGTTCAAGCCCAATACCAAAAAAACACACCTCCTTGGGTCTAGTCTCATCCGTCTCCAATGCCACACGTGTTACAAACTTTGTCTCTGAAAAATAAAGTCCAGTGTCCATCAGGAACTGGGGGAGGGAACTTGCACTCCAGGGAGTAACACATGGTTGTGCCCAAGCTGTGTATCCCTGACCACAGGTCCCCCGACCTTGCAAGACTGTCAGTCATTAAGGCCAAGCTCGCTCCTTCTGTGTCTTCTCTCAGTCCATTCTTCRGCTTGGACAGGTGAGCGTGGTTCTCACAGTGACCCTCCCAAAAGCTATGGGGCAATCCCACCCTAGGGCCTCGGGACTGCATCTATAGAGTTCCACTCCAGGGCCTCAGGATGTGGCTGCCTTTGGCGCGGGGTCCTTACAGGTGACTGTAATGACTGGGGTCCTGACGGGGTGAAGGCTGGCCACGGGGAGGTGGAGACGGACGGTGCTCCTACCTGCCTGTGAACACCACGGAGCGGCAGCTCTGAGCCTCGGAAGCCCGTGTRCTGGTGGTGCTCCAGTGTCCAGGCCTGGGGGCAGAGCGTCTGTCCTCCAAGGCCCCACACGTGTGGCCCCTTACCACAGACAGCAAGAACAAGAATGGGCACGTGGCCTCCAGGGGCCACCACACGCAGGCCACGGTGGGCAGGGTGCGGCCACCCTGGGGCCAGCTCCACCCACACCGGCAGGGTGCGGCCACCTGAGGTGCTGGGAAGGGCCGCCACTCCCAGGGACCCCCCTCTGCCCACCAGGGGTCTGCACTAGCACTGGGACCCAGCAGGGTGGTTTCCGTGTGTGTCCTCAGCCTCCTCGGCCTCCTCGGCCTCCCTGGGGTGCCGAGGGCAGAAGGGGAGAGCCCACTTCCTGGCCCAGGGCTGGACAGCAGGGTTCTGGAGGCCCAGTCCTGGGAGGGAAAGTTACTCCCACTGGACTTACTGGGGTCACCATCACCTGGACAGGACCAGAGCAGTCTCTGGCCACCTCAGCAAAACCTGGGAGGCTGAAGAAGAGGCAGAACAGATACAGATAGATTTGTTTTTAATAAAGGAGTTAATTTTCTTTCAATCCTATATAAAACAATAGCAATTAAAAACTTCATTTTTGAAAGTAAAATATTTACATATGAACAAGTAACTGTGCAAAATTTACATGAAAAAATGGAAAGACAGGGATTTTCCTAAAAGATAAAATAAAAGGTGTAACAGTTCTCAGGTGCTGATAAAAAATACTGATCAGCCTTCAGTCCACAGGCGCAGACTGAAGTCTAACGTGAGGATCCACACGGAGAAAGCCCAAGTATTTACAGTCATAAAAGTACTATCAATAGACAATTTAATACAATAACCTCTGAAAATATAAAGAACCAATTAGTATATTTGTAATAAAAAAATAGGTACAAAGAAGGGGCTTTGCTCTGGGGTCTGTAAAGTCGGCCCTCGGCTGGCATACAGTCTCTTAGCAAAATAATTATAGTTTACATAGCCATTTTCATGTTATGTGCCAAAGATTATGTACAATTACTGACAAAATACACCAACCATTTTCAACACTTGATTCACACTGAGAAACAGTCTTTTGATGATTCTTCTCAACTTTGATTTTATTTAATCTAAGTTTTCACTTTTAGCTAAAAAACACAGTGCAAGTAAAATATATTTATGCTGAAAAAGTTCTCATTTCTTTTAACCTTACAGCTTCACAAACTGTAGCAAATAAAATGCATTTGTACAGATGCTGAGCACATTCAGAAGGGGCCGCTCACTGGGCTCCGGCCTCCACCAGGCGGGACTGCGGGCCCACTCGAGGTGACGGTGCTGCGGTAAACCGCACGTTCCTGCAGAACTTCAAGCGGAGTGGGGAAGAGGAGGAAGATAAATAGTCTAAAAATCAGTTTGCTTAGCCAACTGACTGTTACAAAAATAAAATAAGTGAAATGAGGTCATCGGCTGTAGACAGACACCTACGTGGTACGTTAGGTGAACTAAACCAAAATGCACGAGGACTTGGGGCTGTGCGAGCTGGCAGGGCAGCGCGGTCGCTGAACGGCTCGTCCGTCTTTAATATGGCTTGTTTGGCAAGAAGGCCACTCAGTCGAGGATGAGCGGGGGCGTAGCTGACCTTCAGGAGCATCCACAGGCCTGTGTTCTCTGCTACAGGAGAGGTTTCCTTCCACACTGAGCTGATTTAGAAACTGGAATATAAAACTGTTCCATTGCAAAGAGGTGGCTGTTTTTAAACAATATCCCATTTGCTTGTTACAAAAAGGCGCAATCTGCAAATATATAAAAACGTCCCCAGGCGTCTGTCAGAAACACCGGCAGCCTGTTACTTGAGGAGTGCTTTGTAGAGCAACAGTGAATGGCTTGTCTCGCGCTCGTTCTCTAAACAAAATATGAGGTCCCTGAGGTTGACCCGTGTGATTCTCTGCCGAGTGAACTGCCTGGGGGCTCCCACGCCAGAGCTGCCTGGGACTGCCACACCGGGGCCCGAGCCCTGTGAGGAGAGGAGAAGGCGGGTGTTAGTGGGGCTCAGAGGTGGGCTGCACAGCAGGCAGAGGAGGCAGCCTCAGTGCCCCCCGGGCCCCCGGAACCCGGACACCGCCTGGGCTCCTTCCAGCAGGCCTAGAGCTCCAGCTGACGTGTTCAAGTCCCTATCTAGGAGGGGTCAGGGCCAGAGAGCCCCACTGTACAGCACACGCTCAGACCACCACCCGTAGATGCCCCACAAGGACCACACTCTGGCCCTGGTGGGGAGGAAGAGAAAGACGAGCACTCCGTCCCAAGGCAAGCGGCCACAGCAAGGCTGCCCAGGGCCCACATCCAAGCCCCACCTGGGCTACGTCACCCTGCTGCACTGATAAAGGCACCAGGTCTGAGCTCCTGGGCTAGGCAAGCTGTGTGTCAGCAGAGGCGGCCAGCTGCTCGGCAGTCAGACGGTGAACCCCACTGGGCCCCACTACAGACGCCTAGCCCGGGCCCACCCAGCTGTCCTGAGGCAACTGTCCTCTGGCTCAGAGAAAAAGAGCTACCTGGTTGGTATGGAATGTGCGGGGTCCCCAAGCAGCAGCGTCCAGCAGCTGCTTCTCGCCACCCCCCCATACCGACACCCCGAGTGGGAGCTCCAGAACCCCCCACAGGTGGCGTCGCCCCCCCCCCGCCCCCCGGGGCAGCCCCCGGGGTCTATCCCCAGAGGTGGGAGGTGGGCTGCTCCTGTGAACTCAGCACACCTGGGGCTGGCACTGCCCTGCTGTTCAGCAAGAGTGAAAGGAGCCAGAGTCTCCCAGGGCCAGCAGGTAGCAGGCCAGGCAGCTGGCATGGACGGTGGCCCAGGCTGTAATGGCTTCTCTTTGCTCATCATGCCAAAGCCAGCCAGGTTGCTCCCCAGGTGCTCTGAGCCACCTCCATGACCTCAGTGGCCACCTCCTCTTGGATGAAGAAGTTGGGGTTCTCCTGATGCCTCCAGGGGTTTCCTGTAGACCATGGAGCCCTCCAAATGGCTGGTGGACATCCACACGCAGAAGGAAGCAGGAACGGCAGAGGCGGGCTTCCCTGCAGGTGCCTTGGACACCAGCTACAAGCCAGTGAGGGGCAGGGGGAGGAGGACTGGCCACGTCCCCGGGGTTCCTGAGAGTGAGAACTAGGTTGCCTGGGCAATGCAGAGGCCTCCCTCAGCACGAGACCTCCACGGTGGGACAAGCCGGCCTCGCTTGGAGAGGCTGCCTGGTGACAAGAGCTGGCTGTCTTGGTGACCCTGGGGCTAGAGGGAGAGAGCCATGGCGTTGGGCTCTCAGAGGCACCACTGCAGCCACAGGTGGGCAGGTCCCCGTGGCCTGGCCACATCGCCAGGCTGGCACACAGGCAAGGCTTCCTCAGGAGCAAAGTCAGGAACCAAAAGAGCAGCATCAAAACCAGTGCCCAAGACTGGCTGACAACCAGTGTGAGCGCCCACAGAGGGCACAGCCCGCTGCCCAGCCACCTACAGCCCAGGCATTGGTGGCCATGGAGCAAAGCACCACCCCCCACCAGCTCTGGAGAAGGGCCATGGCCCATAAGCCACAGACTCTGGGCTCTGAGGGTTCTGTGACTACAGCCAAAGCTCTGGGCTGCAGGAGAGAGGTGAAGGCTGGAGCCCATGCTGCTTGGCACAGCAACTGCTCTGACCACCTGGCCCAGACCAGGCCTCACCACTTTGCCAAGCAGGTCACCTGGCCTATGGCATCTCACAGCTCCCCAGAGCTGGGGGAGCCTTGGCAGGAAACACCACAGGGTCCTGGACGGGCAAGAGGTGCCCCACCATTGAGACTGGGGCTCTGCCCGCAGCCCACTGCAGCAGGTGGCTCTGCACTGTCAGCGGAGAGGACAGAGGACCCAGGCGAGTCCCAGCACCCGCCAGAGCTGTGACCTACCTGCCAGGAGCTCTGCTGCTCAGCAAGAGCAGCCCGTGCAACCCTCCCTGCACCCGGCCCAGCCTGCCCTATGCGGCACACCAACACTCACCTGCCAGTCTGAGCACCATCAAAAAGCCAAAGAAAGGAGACCAACCTTCCACTGTAAAACTCAGCCCAGGAAATAAAGCCCACAGAAGGACCCTCCTGTGGGGCCCTCCTGTCCAGAGTGGCCAGCGCAGGTGCAGCCACAGAAGGGGGCTCCATGTCCCAAGGGAGCAGTACCTGCTGCAGCACACCCCCGTACGGGGTGTCYCCAGTGCCTCGGGGCTGCCCTGGAGAAGAGATGCCCGCTGCTGGGAGTRTGGAGATGAAGCTGACTCTCCACCTGCTCAAGCAACAGGCTGGAGCCCACACCCACAGCAGCCCTAGGACAGCAGGACGAGCTCCCGGGGAGGGTGGCCATCGGCCCCAGCCCCCATCTGCCTGTCACCACCTGACCCTTGCTGGCAGCCACTCTGACCCCTCACCTGCTTGAGCTGTCCCACAAGAGTCCAGCTCATGTTGGGGAGGTTAAAGGACACCCACGAATGCTCAGAAACTCGGCTGAAACAAGGTCAGCTGTGGCCCGGCCCCTCCCACCACCCACTCCAAGCACTGAGCAAAGGGACGGGCAAGGGCCACGCCACCCCCAGACTGGAGGGGCACCACTCTTCAGGTGACAGAGAACGCAGGACGGCTCCCAGGGCACCAGCCGCCACCTCCCGAGCGAGGCCGCCTGGCAAAGACAAGAAGCTGGGGGACACGGCAGGGGCCCCGCGCGCTGAAAGCCAGCCCWGAGAGGCCTGAGACTGGCACAGTTGGCATGGGAGCACAGGACCGGCGAAGGGCCCAACACAAGGCCTGAAGGGGCCTCTGAGGGCCAAAATGGAAACGGAGAATTCTGAGAATAGCCCCTGACCACTGGCAGGGAAGGGGAGAGGAGTGCAGGGGAGCTGCTGGTCCCCCAGGACAAGAGTCCATGTAGTCAGTGCCAGTGTCCCACCCCGAATACCCAGAAACCCTGCCCTGGCAGCCTGGACTTGCAGCACTGCCAGCAGAGGGCGCCACCGCCTCACAGCAGGGAGCAGGGAGTCCAGCGCCCAGTGCCCAGCGTGGAGAGAGAGGGCACGGTCTGGGGAGCGGCGGGGTGGGAAATCCCTGCCAAGCCAAGGCCAGCCAGGAAACGGTTAGCCACGCCCAGCCAGCACAGCACACCGTGCGTGGGGGAGGAGACGCGGCGAGGAATGCTGGCCAGCAGCTCTGAAGAGGGACCGGGCCCAGGAAGAGAGGGCTGAGAGACCAGGGATGAGGATCTGAGCAGCAGGGGGCAGGTGTGGCCCCCGACCTGAGGCTGGAAGCCCGTCTAGACCCCAGAATTCTGACCCCAGCCCACGGCCGGGGTCGGCCCAGCACAGAGGAGCCTGCGGGCGGAGACAGGGAATAACTGCAAGGGCACAGAATGGCGGGTCACACTTCTCAGATGGCATCTCCAACCACAAGACGCAAGGGCACTCAGGGCATCCTCACCTGTCACCAGGCTGCACAGCCCAAACACAGCAGGGCAGCGTGGAACAGCTGGACCCACTCTCCACGGAGACCAGGCCAGGGACAAGGCTGCAGAAGGGAGACCCCAGGCCAGGCAGTGCAGGTCAGAGGGGGGCCTTGGCGCTGGCAGCCAGCAGAGTGGGGGGGAAGAGGAGCTGGCGAACAGCCACCAAAAGGYACAGTGGCTAACAGCTACACCACAGCAGGGGAGGGCACTGGACGGGGCCACGGAGCACAGAGCAGCCTTCCTGACACCAGAGCCTGGAGGACACACACCCAGGCCGAGCAGGAAGCACCGTCCCCTTCCTGCTGCAGGCTGCAGACCCCCACAACAAGGGCCACTCGTGAGGCCAGTCAACGTGGGCCTCAAGCCCACAGTGGAGGCTGGACATGTGGACTGGACGCAGCGTTCCCCAGGAAGCCCACAGGAGGCAGTGCAGGCGGAGTGAATGGGCTGCAGGGCCGGGGCCTCACGGCAGGCTCACCCACTTGGCGGCCAGTGCTCTGAGAGAACTGGGGGCCACTGCAGGGGGTGGGTGGGGCGGGGCTGGAGAGGCAGGTCGAGGGCGAGCCTGGGGCTACACCTTCTGTCCCTGGTCCTCGCTCGCACGGGGAGCTAACAGCTGGTCATCACACGTTGCCGCACCTTGAGCCCAGAGCAAGGGCTTCCACTGACCACAGACCAAGGCCTCTGAAACCCTGAGTCCAAACAGTTTTCCTTCTCTCGGTTGTTCTTGTCAGATCTTTTGGTCACAGTGACCCACTAACACAAACGGGTGGGTACTTCTGAATGCTCCAAGTCACAATTCACAATGAACATGCCACCTACGGACACTTACCTACCACGAGACACAGAATGCCGATCACATCAAAGCTGTGGTGGTGCGCCAGCCACGAGGCCCACTGCCACACTCACTGCAAAACCACCAGCAGGCGACCACCAGAGCAGACCCCGGCCCACGCAGTCTGTTCTCGGGCACCCACCAGCACCCACAGGAACCAGGCACCACGTCAGCACCGCCCACAGCGGCAGCCTCACGGTGCAGCAGCATGTCTTGACAAGGCTGTGGGGAGGCCAGCCTCCTTGCCACAGGTGACAAGCCAGGCCTGCAACTCCACAACCCTACTGCAGGAGCTGGCCCGGACATGCCCCCAGGGCCCCAGGGCCCAGGCTCTGCACTGAAGCCCGCCTGTGGCCACGCCACATGACCCAAGGCACATGAGTGCTCAGCGGGGCAACATGGTGCCCGGAGGCACCAAGCAGAAAGGGTGCCCGCTCTGCACCACCTCCCAGGTAGCATGCAGGGGCAGGGGCTACGTGAGGGCCGTCCCTCCTGGCGTACACAGCTTTTGGTGAAGCTCTGACTCTTGGAGCCATGACAACACTGCACCCAGAAGTCATGAGCCAACCAAGACGAGGGCACCCAACAGGGAACACCAACCACAGGCAGGCCAGGGGCAGCCATCGGGAGAGCCGCGTGCCGACCCGCGGGGCTGCCGCGGGGTAGCTGTGCAGGAGCAT